TAAAAAAATTGTACGATCAATCAAACACCGTGTAACATCATCCCTAAAACAATTATTTCATCAAGCACAATGATGTCTCTAACCAACCTCTTGCACGGCGGCCAGGATTTCAGTCGGATCCATTTGTTCCGATAACGAACGTGATGACGGCCTGACGTTGCTGGCCGGCGGAGGCAGGTGTCGACGGCTGGTCGTAGCAGGCGTACTGCGCGGAGGGAGGCGGCAACGTAGATCGCAGGTGGGCGGCCATCTGGGCGACGGGAATGGAACGCGGCGGCAGCGCCAACGGAACCTGGGCACGCGCGTCGGCAGCGGTAACGGCGCCGGGGCACGCGCGGCGGCCTGTTTGGGCGGCGACCCGGGCGACGGCGACTTCGCGCAGACGGGGGCCGACGTGGAGACGGCGTGGATGCGTTAGGGTTCATGGTCGTGTCTTTTTTTTCCCTCCAACAACTGTCGACGCCAACGTCGAGACGTGCGGGCGTACGACGGCGACGTACGGCGACGGGTGCGGGTACGCCGGCAGGCGTACGTACAGCGACGGGTGCGGCATACGCGGGCGGGCGTATGACGTCGCGCGCGGACGTACGGTGTCGGGTGCGGCATACGCGGGCGGGCGTATGACGTCGCGCGCGAACTTACGGCGTCGGGTGGGTATTCCTATACCTAATGTGAAATTACCATACTATCCACTATACGTGTTAGAGGGGTTGTACCGAAGCACTCCCCTTTTTACTATACATGTGCAACTGTGCATCAGTTTATCTCTTTTTACTGAATAATTGTTCGAATTAACATAAATTTAAAGTTATATAATAAGTTGGATTATGTTTTTTTATGCGGGAAGGCCTTCACTCGGTGTAAACATGGAAACTCAAGCGTGGGTCATCGGATTTGAAACTTGGGTTGTTGACCAAACATTTTTCATACAAGCGCCCACATGACTGGTTATTACTTCGCACAAAGATCCTAGGCCTTTTTTTTGGTAAAGTGCATGGAGTGAGGTTGGTGGGAGAAGAAGCCCTTGGATCATAGATCCAATGGCTCACGTCTTGGTTTCCATGTTCCCACTGAAACACAGGTTTCTAAGAGACACTTTCTCCATGAGCAACTACATTTGACTCTATTATAATGCTCAATAGTAACCTTATACGCAATTAACTCCAACAAGTGCCAGACACTTGACTAAACAGATTCTGGCCAACAGGGCAGAGAGCCCCACACATAGTACAAACAAGCAAAACATCGGCTTGTTTAGTGCTGAACTGAAAGCAACAAATTACCTCTGAATTTGAGGTGGTAGTAATGAATCACTTAGTTGCGTTCATGAAAATGCTCCGGATACGTGGCACACACCAAAGCTCCCTGCCACTGTGGCCATCAACAACCTACCATACAAATTACCAAGAAAAAAAAAGATCACAAATGTCAGGCTCTATCGCAGCGACTCTGAAACGAATGCAACATCGGAGGAACCTACATTGTGCAAAAGAAGCGAAAAACAATGCCCTTACCGTTTAACCCGCGACTCACGCAGAGGGACATGAAAGAGTGAAAGCCGAAGAAGACTGCTAATTCTTCTTGCTGCCACCTGCATACATACAGGAGTTTAGAGTTGTGCTTAGTTGGCATCATCACTAGGCAAAAATCCAGACGTGCTATAGTGAGATGAACTCTCTGAGTTTGTCAGGGAGGGGCAGACCTAGTGATGCAGCGTTAAGGAACGCCTCGTCTTCAGGGAACAGCTGCAGATTCTTGGACTTCAGCAGGTACTTGATGGCATCGTCCTGGAAGTCCAACAGGCTGCCGACCTTCACGAGTTCAGCAAGCGAAGGGATGCGGTCCGGCGTCTCGAAGAGCAGTCCTCGGGCTACCTCGTCAGCAAAGTTCGTCGCAAACTCGATCTTCTCTTTGTAACCAGCTGCTGCACCAGCACCATCGCCTCGCTGCACATACAGCTTCGAGTTCTCCCTCTCCCACCTGATCATCTGGCTGGCCTCCACGTCCACAGCCTCTCCAAAGGACAGCTTCACGCGGTACCCCACCGTGATCGGCTTCGTGGTCTCCAGGACGCTCACATTCAGCAGGCGAGAGACCATGGTGTGCCGCTCTTTGGAAGCAATGTCAAGAGCTGGATCAGCAAGGAAAGCAATGACTATCTGGACCAGACCGGCACTGATCACCTCACGCTGGTCAGCAACCGTGTTGCAACCGCCATCCTGGCCCAAGGTGACAAAAGAATCGCTCTTCTCGGCGGCTTTGGATACTGCCTGAACACTGATGCTTCCATATACATTGTTGAGCCTTGCTCGAGAGACGGAAGGAGGGTACCAGATAAAAATGGATTGTCGAGGAAGCTTATCAAACAGATCCTACAGCAGAAGATCATCAGGAATGAACACGTCCTCCTTCTGCGATAAGATGATCTTCCCATCAGTGCAAACCGGGACCTTGGCACAACCAGAGAGAAGCTTCTCCATGTTCTTGCTCCAGTTCCTTGCAATGAACTGCCAGAAAGCAGAGCAGTTGGTTGCGGATATCTCACCGCCAGAGCTCTCCCATGCGCTCCAGAGCTTGCAGTGGTCTTCGGCATCGGGGCCATGCCTCACGCGAAGAATAGATGAGAAGAAGTCCAGCAGCTTCCTGTCATCATAGTATCTGCCCAACACATGCAGCTGCTGGCTGAAGAGGTTGTTCTGATCATGAAGAACACAACTCAGTGGGCTGACCCATTCTCCACTTCCCCTTTCATTTGGTATCCAAATCCAGTCAGTGCCCTCTTTGTTCTTCTTCTCAGGCTCCCAGCTGCACTCCTTGAGGTACAAGTAGATCCTGGAAATGATAGCAGTTTCTTTGTGGCTCTGCAGATGCTGAGCAACAAGGCCATGCCCACATCTAACATCCACAGTTACTCCGATTGTCGCAAGTGCATCCTTGAGTGAGGCGATCTCTGAACCATAGAAAGATTCATCGATGAAAGGGCCATCCGTTATGCAGATGGAAGACAGCTTGGGATCAAAGAGTATGCATCCATCAGGAGATTGGTATCCAAGTGTTGTCTTCAACCACTTGCAGCTAGTGATTTCCTTCATAAATTCCTTGGGCAATGTTGCCATACAGGCCAAGCAGCTCTTAACAGACCCAAGCAACGACAACACGGTGGCTGCAGAAATATCTGCAGTGTCTGCAGGAATCTTGAGACCATTGATGACAAACCTAGCGCCATGGGCTTTCACTTCTGTTGTAACACCTAGTTCTTTCAGCTCAGCCTTGTAACCATGTATCTCTTTGCCTAAACCACCATTAGAGTCACCATCATTGATGAAAGGTAATTTTGCAATGGGTAACAGAGACTGCCAACTTTCATCAAATAAGATTGCTTCCGAAGGTGACCTAAATCCCAGTGACGTGCACAGCCATTTCTCACTCCGCATGGAGTTGAAAAGACCAACCGGATTTGAGTTGTGTGATCTCAGTTGCCGATAACATGCTAGCAGAGCCAGGACATTCACCTTTGTAAGCGATGACTTCTCGACCATCTGCTTGAAAATGTCTTCTTCAACTCCTCTTTGTACGGGCTGATCTTACTCCCATAAAACCAAGAATCAACAACAGGAACTCCGTCGAACACCTTTAGAAGGCACTCCCACTCCTGATCCAGAAGAAAAGATTCACCAGGAGCACGGAATCCTACGTTGGCCTTCAGCCATTTCAAATCTCTGAGCTTCCTCAAGAAATCATCACATGAGCTAGCATACCGGATACACTTGAGGATTAGTGCAGTAGCATCAGAAGTAACAGATGAAGAACTGAACTTGAAATTATCAATTATAAGCTTGTAGGTCTTTTCACTATTTTCAAACCCAACTTGGACACCAAGCAACTTCAGCTCTTGTTTGTAGTCAAGGATGGACTCGCCATAGAATCCAACATCAAGGAATGGCTGGGTACTGATACGAGATGCAACTTCCCAGTCTGAATCATATATGATACAACAAGAAGGAGACATGTAACCTAGAGTACTCTTCATCCATTGTCCATCTTTCACGCTGTTGACTAGTTCACTTGGTGACAGAACCTTCTGTTGAAGAAACCGAATCAGCCGAAGCAGCTCATATACATGCTGTCTGGTCAGCATATTGCTTGCAGCCATCGACATGAGCCGCCTGCCGATGTAAGCCGATGCCTCCCCAAATTCAAATCTTACCCCGATCACCTTTAATTCATCCTTGTATGCATTCATTTTGTATTGATAGAACTGTTGATCAATCATTGGTATATCAACACAGGAAGACCCATTTTGCAAGAGATTACCCCACTCAGAACTGGACATAAATGATTCAGCCGGGGGCTTGTATCGAACTGATGTCTTCAGCCAACTTCCTCCTTTCACACAAGCCAAGAAAGTAGCTGGTAATTGTACACCTTTCGACTTCAAGTTCCGTATCCATTGCAGTAGCAAGATTGCATTGTCCACAGTCAGAGGTGATGAGACTGTCGGGAAACTTGCATTTGGAGGGTGTATGAATGGCACATCCGAGGCCTGCATCTTTGTCTTGAGAAAATCCAAGATCTGATCTTCGGGTGTGTAGTTCCCGGCGAGATGACCTGCTGACTTGTAATCTGCTGACAGTTCGATGTATTTCTCATTCCTCCATGGGTTTGTGCCCATCAGTCCAACCCATTTGCTACCATTTGCAGGAACTAGAATGCTTTGTCTTTCCGTGACGGCATTGCCATAGTTGTCAATTACTGGCATGATACAACACAGCTCTGCTAACTGCTAGCTCTCCATGTAATTCTTATTGGATGATCAGCGAAGGACTGACAGGCAGGTAATGGAACATCGACGGAATAGTCATTGCTGGTGCATCTGTTCTGGACTTGACAAGTGCTACAAAGGCATTCATGAATGCACTTGGGATACACTCCAGAATTCCCCTGTTCCATGGACTATCAAACAGTATCGCCTCTCTTGATGATGCAAGGAGGAAGTCAGCCTAAATGATGAAGGGGAAGTTCGTTACCATCTCCGTGGGAAGGAAAGCATATACGCCAGGGGATAGCTGCTTCCCACGGGATAGTCGCTCCTTAAGAGGGAAGGCTAGGGTGATGACCCACTCATCGATTTCAGTACGCTTGTCCACCCTGTTCTCTGCTTTGACAGGGAACCTCTGCCTCCACATACGGTACCCGCACTCTACTTCACTCTCATTCTCTTGAGCAGATAAAAAGACCGTGTAAGACTCCGCGTGCATGTTATTCCTCACTTCAAAGTTCTTCTCACTTGATATTTCAATCTCACTAACAGTGCTGCCTTTAGCGTTGCCGTTATCTTCACGGACAGAAAGCCGCCTAATCTTTGACAGAAACAGTAGCATTTTTGGATGCAGGCTTGACAACTGCTGCTTCACCGCAGTGACCTTCTCATCCTTCAAAGGCAGGACGATACAGGTTGTTGGAAGGTCTCTGGTAGACCCATATATCTGTTTGATATCTGAAAGGCTAGGCCTGGACTCAACCCACTCCGGGACAATGTATCCAATATTGCATTCTGGACACGGCTTCTCATTAAACTTGATTTGATACCCATTACTGAATATATGGGGCTGGCTTGATATCAGGAACACACTTTTGAATCTAATACCTATATAAAAAGAGACATTGATATTACAAATTGTGCTTTTCAATATAAGGAGACCATATACATTAAGCATGCACATAACCACAGACTAACTCTTCAAATGAAATGGCTAAAATTGTTATATGTGCCTATGTATCTTTTGCATGCCTTGAAAAGAAAAGTGAAGCGATGCATGCTTAATTTTATTTATACCAAGTTTGTATTTGATGGATCTGCTTCAGTGAGCTATTGATGAAGAGTAATGTTTTTCAATCAGAAACATACTACATGAGGGAAAAAATTGGTAATAAAGTTGATGTGCCATGTGCATGAATTTGCCATGCAAAGGCAGATTTCTAGGAGCCTACCAAAAACTAAACTTTACCTAGCAAGGGCTAAGAAAGAAATAGATCCATACACTTTCGAGACAGTAGTGAAATACATAAGTGACAACTTAACATCAAGAAGATTTGATGTAGTACTCCCTCCGTCCGGAAATACTCGTCGGAGGAATGGATGTATCTAGATGTATTTTAGTTCTAGATACATTGATTTTTTATGCATTTCTCCGACAAGTATTTCCGGACGGAGGGAGTAATATATATGATAAATAACGAGTCTTACTTCTAGATACAATGGACCTTAAAAGGCCAGTGGTAATATTTTGTGCTCAGTACTATTTTCTTACACTAATATTTCAAAACATGTACACATCTCTGTTTCTGAGTGTCAGGATACACATGATATCTTGCACCATGAATCATCTCAAGCAATAATGTGCATGCTGCACCCAATTTGTTTTGCAAAATACATATACATTATGAGAAAATATTTGCTCCATCACCATTCTAATTAAGCACTAAATTAAGTGCTAAATAAAATTCTGCCCATCGTATATGTCATTTGATATATAGCAGCTATCATAACGTTTGACAGGGAAAGTTCCAACCGTTGACACGCAACATTAAAAGGTAAAATGCTTCAAATTGGCCAAGTGAACACAGAAGGATTCATGAGCTGCAAAGATTCACCTTTCTCTCCAATGTAACCCTTGTCTCTATTTCCCTTCTTCGTTGACTTCCCCACACCACAAATAGACTGAATATTCGATGGAGAGAAGCCCTTCTCGTTGTTGAAAATGAGTAAAGTTGACGATGCGCCAGATCCAGTGATGTCAGTTGATGTTACTAGAAACTCCAATGACGGTGCTACTCCATCAGGGTACTCATTGTCTTCAGCGTTCTAGTTATTGAGGAATAAAATATTAACATGAATGTGATATTGAGCAAATAAAGCTGAATCAAGTGCATTAATCTGAGATTAATGCAATATATATACCAAAACGTTAATGGATTTGAGAAAACAAGCTCATGTAGCAACACACAAGTTTGGCAGAGTCACAATTATTTCAACAGTCTTGATGGCAAAATTGTATCAAGCTATAAAATCAAACAGGTAAATTGCAAAAGAGCATGGGCGCAATAGGCAAACTGAAGATGTTCTCAAGGCTAAAGCTACAATGGTTACATCGGATCCGCAATAGTTTCTTATTGTGGAAAAGAAATAAAGGAGGTCTCTGTTTTCCGTAAAACAGAAAGTTGTCACACTGGATCTGAATTTGGTCTTTTTTTTTTCTTTTCTTTACCGTAGTAGTGTTCCTAAAACAGTTTACTTTATAAATACAAATACGAGATCATTTAGCTCTCCATTTTTTGGAGAACATGGCCACCAGCCACCATAAATCCAAATACGAGTCCTCCCGCCGAAAATAAGAAGCCAAATACGAGTTGAATAAATGTACTGTGGTGTGAAAACTGAAAATGCAAAGTAAACACAGAAAATGCAAGTTTATAGGCTCAGAGTTAATGTGACTTTTGTGCTGCCACAGTGCCTAGTCCCAAGGAAAACATCTTTATCAGTTGATCCTATACTATGCAACTGAAGGGTAGGCCCTACTCGACATCAAATGAGCTCACAGGAAATTGTGGTGAGCAGAGAAACCAACAGTCACTTATCACTAAACAGCGCTTAGAAAAGTAAAGGAAATTACTCTGCATTAATAAGATATATAAGAAAAATACTAAAAATAAAATATTGCTGCCTTTTCCAACTGAAAAAAAGAGTTTCCTGCTTCGTATTGGAGAAAGAGGGAAGGTACAGAGATACGGAAAATTGATAAAATACAGGGAAAATAGCAGGATCTCTTTTTTTTGCGGGAAAAATATAACCGGGTTTCTGCGCAAATAATAAAACATAAACTTGTAAATGGAAAAAGGCCAGAAAGTTCAGTAGGGGGTGGGGGCTATGTATAATAATCAAATTAAACAGAACTGTAGATTTTTGTAGGCGACGAGCATAAATGAACCAAATGCACATAAAAATAATTTGTCAAAGCATTTTTTGGAAAAGAAAAACAAATAAACCGGTACGCTGTCTTGAAAATGCATAGAAACAAATTCGACACTAATCTGAGCACGCATAATAGAATCCACATTTTTGGGAAGTTGAGTTATCTATCATGGAACGGAGGGAGTAGTATAGTTAGCATTGTACAGTAGTACAAAAACAGAGTGCCGAAGGAAGGAAGGAAGGAAGCAAGCAGGGTACTTCTTGTTGGTCACCTGGACGAGCTCCATGAGGAAGTGGACGTCCTTGGAGTAGAGCTCCTGGCTCAGGTAGTTCACCGCCTGGTGCATGTCCTCCGCCAGCGGGTTCTGCTCGCCGCGCCCGATGTAGTACCGCTCCCGCCGGAGCCTCTCCACGTGCGCCCGTGCAGCCATCGTCGCCGGAGACGACGACGACGACCAGCTTTTGCGCCGTTACCGGAGATCGTCGATTGGGCTCCGAAGAGGAGGAGATGGTTGGGTGGTTTTGGAGGTGGGAAGTGCGAAGTGGAGGAGTGGGCGGCGGTTCCTGGGCTTCCTCGCCGGCTTTAAAGGAGTTGGGTGTGCGTCTATTGGGTACCCCTTGCGGTCGCAGAGAACGCTTTATTTTCCCAAGAGTGATGCTCTTTTCCTTTCTCTTTCTTTCTTTTTTTACGCGTTTGAGAGGAGTGTTGGATGATGGTTTTCTGGTTGAAGTGGTTTAGTAATTTCTAAGGCCATCTGCATGAATTTGATAAGACTCATGTAGAATTATACTAATTTTCTTATAATTTTTACAAGTAATAGCTTTTGGGTAAAAGGAATGGTGCCACCCAAATCACTACACATCGGTTTTGGTATATGCCTTGCATATATAAGGATCCAATATTTTGTACTCCCGCTGCAAACAAATAGTATAAACAAATATAAGACGTTTTATGTCACTACTAAATAAATATAAAACATCTTACATTTGTTTAAGTAGTGGTCTAAAATGTTTTACATTTGTTTACAGATGTAGTAGTACAATTCTTCTTTTATAGTCATTCGTATAGCAATGAGTATGTGTTTTCTTGCATGCCATTCAAATGACAATTCCTTCGGGTTTCTTGTGTCATGGGATCTTATGTTTGCTATTTGCATTTTTGTTGAATCTGTATGATTGTTTCTTACTATTTTTGTGTCTCTCGATTCTGCGGTTCATTGAGATCACTGTCTTTGTTTGAGTGTAATAAAGCTACTTTTTATTCGTAATTTTAGTTGTTCAAAACAAATAATTATAATTTTAACACTCCTACGAAAGGAGCTATATGTCTCGGATAGGTCCAGGCATGCTAGGAAATTATGTCTCAGATAGGTCCTACCCGAGGATGGTTATTTCAGCAGACATCCGAAAGATGTCTCATTTCACCGCCACGGATATGCAAGCATTTGACACATGTCTTTTAACTCCACTGATATACAAACATCCGAGACATTCCATAATTAAAATGTTTGAGACGTGCCTTATCTTATAATCGCATCGCATCTAACATGGCCCACTAGGCTCAACTACACTCTCGAATATATGCCTAACAAATTAGAAAGGTTCACCAAGTCGTGATATGAATAATATCTTGATACCCTTAGTGTGTGCTCCACACACACACACACACACACACACGGACATGGCAACATTACTTGATTATAATATAGAAAGAAATTAACCTATTTCTACGAACATTGGAAAAAAATCATAGAAAGGTGGGCTCAGATAAAATGCATGCCATTCTATTGAAATTTCGATCAATAGCTGTTGGAGCATCGCTCACTTGTAGTAGTACACCCTCAATTTTTTTAGTCTACATATAAAATTTGGTCAAAGTCAAACTTTATAAAGTTTGGCTAACTTTATAAGAAAAAATGTGAACAATCATAGTATGAAACCAATATTATTAGATGCATCATGGAATGAATTTTCATATTGTCGTGGTTTTGTCACGGCAGATGTCCTCATGGAAGGACTTAGTCGTGGAGCCATCGCTACGGTTTAACTTGAAGGGGTTAAAGCGGACGCAAGGACACAGGGTTATACTAGTTCGGCCCCTTCGATGAAGGTAAAAGCCTACGTCTAGTTGTGATGGGATTGATGTGGTTTCGATGACTAGGGAGCAAATAAGCTTCTCCTAGGCCTCGAGTTGTTCTCCTTGAACCGTCCCGGGTCGTCCCCTTATATACATGGCTGACGCCCGTCGGTTCAAAGAGTCCCAATCTCCGGTTCATACACAGCCGGTTGGTCTCTCTCTATTCCTAACTTATGATACAAGTTTACATACCGGGCCGGTTTATAGCTACAGGTGCTAAACCGACTACAGGCCTTGGGCCCTTATTCTCATGCCTCTTGGGCTTCTACACTGTTGATCTACTAATGAAGTTAACCCGGCCCAGATAGGCCGGTTTACGCCCAGTAGTAATATCCCCAACATTAGGCCCCAGATTAATTTGAACAGGTTAATGTCAATCCTTAATAAAAATCTTCATCTGCAAATACTTCCTTGAAATTGTTGAACCGCCGTGACGTCGCCTTCTCCAGCTGCTGTAAACCGGCATGACGTCTTCATTAAATACAACATTTATGATGTCTTCTTTATTTAACAGATCCGCAATAATCGAGGCGACAGCTCCGCTTCCCAGATCCGCGGTCCTTGATTCCCGCGCCTGACACAGGTGTCTCGCCTTATAAATAGGACCGAAAGGTCATTCCCTTTCTTCCCTTCGTCCTCTTTCTCTTCGTCTTCCTCGCGTCACTCGCCTCGGAGCTCCGCCGCCGCCGTAGATCTCTGCCTCGTCTTGGGCCGCTACATCAACCTGAACGCACCAGGGAGACGCCGCACCTCCTCTGCATCTCCTCGACTCAGGTAAGCTTTTAGCTCCCCTTGACCTAGATCCGTTCTAGGGTTTCCTGTTTCTTGCCGTGCTCCATGAACTGCTCATGTTCCTGCCGGACTCCTGGCTAGTTCTTTGTGATAGCTCGCTCCGATTAGCGGTAGCTTGCCTGTAGCCTTGTGCCTATACCTATAGATCTTACATATCATCTTCGGTTCATGGCATGAAAAAATGTTCTGTTTTATTCCTTCCTTTCTCATCTGGCTCCAGATCCTTCATTGTAAAGAAGTCTTGTGAAACCTGTTTCTGCATACTTAACCATTTGCAACCTTTAGTTGCTTTCAATGTTTAGACCAGGCGGTTTAACTTGTCATAGAAAAAATTAATCAAACCGGTATACACCATTAGTCCCCTTGTTGAACCGCCAAAATTCCTTAACCAGATTCTGTCGCTTCGTAGAACTCCGGTTTAGATGTATTTGTCTCCGATTCAGCACGGTACACCGGTTCTCTTTTTGTCCCAACATATTCCTTGAACCGGATATCTTTTTTCTTTTTTAGATGGCCAAGCAAGTGTACGAATGCAACTGGGCGCCTTCCCGGGTCACCGAAACTCAGTTAAACAACCTTGTACTGACTGGCGCTTTAAGCAGCAAAAATGATATCCATTGGAGGGTTCCTGGCAACGAATGTCCACCCACACCTCAGGAGGGGGAAATTGTAGTATTCGCAGATCACTTGGCCCGGGGCTTTAACCCGCCCGGTTCAAAATTTTACCGGGATGTGCTAGCCAATTTTCAACTCCGTCCCCAAAATACAGGCCCCAATTCTGTTACCAATATTTGCCACTTCCAAGTGCTTTGTGAAGCATACTTTCAAGAAGAACCCATGGTTGAATTGTTTAGAGACTGCTTTCATCTAAACCACCGCACAGAATTCACCGACGGGCCCAACACAGAATTAGGTGGTGTGGCGATTCAAAAGAGGAAGGAAGTCACTTATCCTCATGTCAAACTGCACAGCCACCCCAAGGAATGGAATCACACATGGTTTTATTGCCGAGACACCTCACCTGCTAATGAGAATCCTTTGCCCGGTTTTCGTCCTGAGCGACTCAGTAATGCACATCCCTTCCCGCAAAGGTTAACTGCCAGCGAGAGAAGTAACTATGCTCCTCAACTCTCTAAGCTCAGAGCCTTCATGGCCAATGGTCTTACCGGGATTGATCTCGCACGCAGCTGGATATCATGGAGCATATTGCCCCTCTCCCGGCGCTCCGGTTTAATGTGCGAGTACTCTGGCAGTGTCAATGATCCCCTCCGAACATTAATATTCAGCTCACCGATGATGAGGTCACTGAAGCGGTGAAGAAAATGCTGAATGAACCGGAACATCTCTGTGCCTGAACCGGTCTGCTCCCGTTCTGTGCTACCAACAAGCCACCCTCTGTAAGACTTCTGACTAACCTTTGCTGAATAAATTACTGTTGTTTTGGACATGACTTTTAACCTCAACTGCTGCTCAATCAGGGTGATGACCCATTCTGGAGCAAGAAACGTCCCCAAGAGAAACCGGAGAAGCCCGACAAACCGGAGAAACCAATCCGGCAAAAGACCAAAGCTGCCAAGAGAACCGCTTATAAAAGAAGAACCACTGCATCTTCTGATCTGGCCGCGGATGATGATGTGAGTAATCCAGACCTTGAGGTAGAGCTTGATTCACTTGGCTTACTTTTCCTACGCCTAATTAACAATAATACTTGTCAGGATGAACCTGAAGCCAGTATTGCTGACGATGTAGAGGTAATTATTCTCTCCTCTGATTCAAGTCCTTTGCCTTCATTAAAAATCCGTCGGGCAAACCGGAAAATTAAATTTTCTCATCCCCTTGCTTACTTGGACCCCAAATTTCTTATGAAGACTCAGCAACATGAAGCTCGCCGCACAACTCGGCACAGCGGCCAGGTAGTTACCTCCGCCGGTTTACCAAACAGTCCGGTTCGAAAACATCGTTCAGAGGTCTCTAATTTGATTGTCAGTGCTTATCCTAAAGCGGGCTGTGTTTGTCAACCCCTTAATCCATCTGACTCCGATTATCAGGTCACTTCCCACTCTTCATCTGGCGAGTCATCGGCCACTCAGCTGCCACCGCTTAAAACGGTGCTTGGGTAAGTCATACACTTTATATTATTTCCAGTGCATCCTTTCATAACATACGCTGTATTTGACTGTTCTTGTGCTTTTCCAGGGCTAAACCGAGGCCAAGCAAAAAGGCTCGTCTGGATAAGACGGTTGATGAAGAGACTGCCCCTGAACCGGAAAGCACCCCGAATCCTGAAGCGGCTATTTGTGAAGATACGCCCAACGACCCACCATTGCATGATGACATTCTTGTTGCTGAGCATAGGCCTATTGATTCCTCCTGTCTTGCTGATCAGCCCGGAGGCCCGACCCGGATTGAGAAACCCACCAGTCCAATCCGTCCTGCCGACAAAACGACCGTTCCTGGTCAAACCGGCGTTAGCAAGGACGATGATGTTGTAATCACTGGTTT